ACGACAGGATGCTCTGGGGTGAATTGAACAAGAAGCTCGAACTTTCTAGAATAGAGCCTTTGACGGTCACCCGGCTCACTCGAGGAAAGGATTCTAAGCATCTAAATCACCAGAGGCTTCTCCGAGTAACACTTAAGGATGCTACCGACGTAGAGGACGTCTCGCTAGCAAGCCACTTGCTGAAATCAGATGGTAACGTAAGAATACTGCCCGACATACCGTACTCTGAGCGCAGTATCATACGAAACGTCCCTAAAGAATCTCGCGAGAAGTTTTTCCGCGGAAGAAACATAATTGTCCAAGGTATACCGGAAAATGCAGACCCTACTCAATCAAATTCTGACATCAGGGAATGGAAATTCATCAAACAGTCCTTGAGGCTCAAACACATACTGACTCAGCATGTGACGAGACTAGCCAAGAAGGACGGTGATCTTAGACCCCGTCTAATGAAGATAACCTTCCCATCTTCCCACATGGCGGCTGCAGTTCTGGAAGCATTTCGTGCTAATAGACGTCGATTGCCACCTGGAATCCACATGCACCCGGATAGGCCATACGAAGTTAGGACCAAGAACAAAGGCAAGTTTGAGCTGACCATTCCACTTGTGGACTGTCTAAACGATAAAAAACGTGTAAAGAACAGGGCCTACCACCTCGGCAAACCTCACATAGGTGGGCTACCTGTCCATTCACATAAGGTTCATACAGAAAAACAGGACGAAGCTCACGCGTTCCAAATTGAAAGCATAAACTGCTTATATATGAACGCCGCGAGTCTACCAAACAAACTGGATGAACTACGTGAACTTAGCAACGCTAATAAGGCCCATCTGATAGGAATATCTGAAACCTGGATATCTTCTCAGTTCTCGGACCAAGAGTTAGCATTGCCTGGGATGACTTTGTTCCGCAACGACAGAAAAACAGGAATTGGGGGCGGAGTAGCCATATACATAAGCTCTTGCTTGGAGGTGCACCAGGTTCACAACCTCGAGTTTAACAATCTTGAGGAATCCATATGGTGCTCTGTAAGATTGTCTAGTACTTCCAGGTGTCTAGTCGGAGTCATTTACAGGAAGCCAACTGCCGACACCGAGTACGATAGTCGTATGCTGGAAGGACTATCCCGCTCTATCCGTCTCGGTTTCACACACATCCTGATTCTAAAGGACTTTAATCTCCCTAGAGTCAACTTCGCGGAACACACGTACACTGGAGGCGACAACTCAACTGAAGCTCGGTTCTTCAACCTCATCGATAACTTGGGCTTATATGAAAATGTGAGGTCGGCAACTCGTTGGAGAAACAGTCAGACACCATCGCGCTTAGACTGTGTATTCACTAACGAAGAATTCCTAGTCGACAACCTCTCAATCCTGGCTCCTCTGGGAAAAAGCGATCATGCCGTCATAGCCTTCAGTTTTGTCATCAAAACTAAGCTAAGGTATCCCAACAATAATTTTCGTTGGAATTTTAAACGGCTGAATGTGCCAGCTCTACATGACTATCTACAACAGGTGGTTTGGGATGTTCACCCTCAAATCGATGTGGATGGTCATTGGGACTTCTTACTGCACACGCTCTTATGTGCTACAGACCATTCAGTTCCTCAAACGGTTCCCAAAAGCTTCAAGCCACCTACAGTAATCAAGAACCGTACCCTTCGCCTCCTAAGCCGCAAACGGCACTGTTGGGCGGAATACAAACGAACTAATAACGATGGAACGTATAGGCAATACAAACATATCAGGAACACATGCACGAAGGCTATAAGAGAAGACAGGCTTCAGTACCAAACAAAGCTTATGGACAAATTCGCCTCTAACCCTAGAAGCCTATTCCGTTATGCAGCCTCTCTTCGTCAAGCCAAAACAGGAGTTTCTCAACTGCTAGGTCTTAACGGCCAGACCAACAACGGTGGCGACGCCGCTAACGTTCTGGCGGCTCATTACTCTCAAACATTTCAACCGGCTGACATCAACTTTATTGACGACAGTTTCATCTCCAACTCCACAGGACTTTCTGAAGTGGACCTAAGCGCTGACTTGGTGTTCCGGAAATTGCAGCACTTAAGACTTGACACTTCTCCTGGCCCGGACATGTTTCATCCTGCCATACTGAGGGAGGCAGCCTCAATCCTGGCAACGCCGCTTAGCGTGATGTTTTCACACTCGCTTAGACGAGGCAAATTACCGGAAAACTGGAAGTTGGCTCACATCACACCAATTTTCAAAGGTGGTCGACGCAATGAACCTTCAAGTTATCGGCCGGTGGCTCTTCTGTCATTACCTTCAAAACTCATGGAGTCCCTGATATGCGACGGTTTAAATGACTATCTACTGTCCTTAAATTTCTTCTCACCCCAACAGCATGGTTTCAGGAAGGGTTACTCTTGTATAACCAACCTGCCGACTGCGGTGGACAAATGGACAAGCATCCTCGATTGCAAGGGAAAGGTTGACGTCATTTACCTTGATTTCTCAAAAGCTTTTGATAAGGTTAACCACTTGTGTCTTATCAACAAGCTCAAACGACTAGGTATCAAACCACCTCTAACCGATTGGCTTACTTCATACCTAAAAAATCGACACTTTAAGGTTAGGGTTAATTTCACTTTATCTCAGGCTATGGAATGTATTAGTGGGGTCCCCCAGGGCTCAGTACTAGGGCCTCTTCTCTTCTTGATCTACATAAATGACCTTCCTCAACAGGTAACGTCAGACTTATTACTTTTTGCCGACGACGTGAAACTTTGGAGAGAGATACGCAACCAAGACGATACACAGGCACTTCAGGAGGATCTGACGCGACTTCAAAGTTGGGTAGACGACAACGAACTTACCTTTAACACTTCAAAGTGTAAAGTAGTCCATCTGCGACATGTCGCAAACCACAGTTACAACTTAGGAAACTCCTCTCTAGTAGTATCCCAAGTCGAAAAAGATTTAGGAGTCCTGGTGCCCCATGACTTAAAGTCTTACGCCAACTGTGACAAAAATGCCTTCCGAGCAAACCTTGCACTGGTAACGTTGAAGCGCATTTTTGGACAGTTTGACGGACGAACTTTCCATACAATCTTCAATAGTTTCATCCGTCCCCATTTAGAGTACGGAAACATAGTACTCCCCCTCTCACTCCAAAATGACAAGGTCACTTTGGAGCGTATCCAACGGCGAGCCACGAAATCAGTTCGAGGACTCAAATCTAAGCCTTACGAAGAACGCGTCCGTTCACTAGACCTTTACCCACTAGAATATAGGCGTCTTAGAGGTGATTTACTAATGGCTTATAGTATTCTTAACACTTCTGGACATCCTCTTAAACACCTACTTAAGCTTAGTTCGAATAATAACCTAAGGGGTAACACCCAGAAACTGGAAACACAACATAGCAAGACGGAATGTAGACACAACTTCTACTCCTTAAGAGTTGTCAAAAGCTGGAATTCGCTGCCGGCCGAGCTAGTCAAAGCGACTTCTCAGGAGTCCTTCAAGAGGCAACTTGACCTATTCTTAAGGACCAAGGACAGCATCACATTATGATTTACCAATTTCTTTTCCTCTTTTATTGTTAACATACCTAGGTTCCTGCCTGGAGGATTTGGTGATCCCCTGCTACTAGACACGGAAGCCTGTTAAGCGAAAGCTTCTTCTATTCCGTCCACAACCATTTTTACCATTTGCATGGTCGAGCCATACCATCCGATCAACTCCAATTCATTCTTCGCGCCTTCTCCATTGTTAGGTATTTTTCCGTGTTGAATATTGAATATCTATTTTCTGAGTAGTCTTGTGTTCAGCTTTGAAGATTTTGTGGTTATGGTCTAATGCCACTACAGGCTTCCCAGCCATCTTCCATACGTGTCATTTTTGCTTTGCTATGTTTCATTCGCTTCATGTACGAAATATGTGTTCTCAAGTCAATTCTCGTTATTCGACTTATTTAATTCCGTTATTGGATAACGCGATTTAAGTCGACGATGATATAGGAGAATATGTTATAGCAAACATCCACACAATGTAAACAGGAGTCAAATCCGCGGGCTTTGTCGAAGCTTCTATTTAGATCTACCAAGGTTACGTTTACTAGGATATTCATGTATTTTGCAGTGACTGAGTCTCTTTCAATGAAGAGTTTGTTCAAGCATGAAAGTCTTCTAAAGGTATATTTTCCCATTAATGTGAGTGAAAAGAGCATTTTGTAAGAGCAAATAGATCCCAAATGTCACTAGTTCTGTAGTTCTTGCTTACTGAAATCAATCTCACCAGTTTTACGGGACATGCTCTAGCTGAAATTTCTTGGCCAAGCATTCGCATGACGATGTACGCATCTTTCTCAACAACCAGTCAGCTTAGGTCATATAGCTCTCTAGGAGTCGATTGTCTTCCAAACTCCGTGATCTGGTGACCAGGCATCTTCAGCTGGATGCATCTATTAAACTAGTGAGGTTAGCATTAAATGTCGAGAACTTACAGAACTATTAAACTTCTTCGGCATCATTTGCCACAAAGTGCCTTTTTTGGAATGTGTCTACATCTTTTCATCCTTATCAGTAAAAATGGCCTTGATGAAGCTCCGGTTTTATCGAGACCATTATTTGTCAATCACAGTGGATTTCCCTAAAACAGAAAATATGTTATTCCATTACCAATATTCTTCTATGTACATGAGAGTACAACTTCTTAAGATTTCTCTAAGAATATCGTAAATTGACCTATCTCCATCTGTCAATGCTTTGTTCGCCTTCCTAACCTTACAGCTAGTGTGCTCGGATATTTCAGAGCTTGTAGAGACGAACTAACCATAGTATCTGTCCCTAAGCTTAAAGTTTCTTGGTCACGTCTGTCATTCATGCTGGACAGAGTTCTTGCTTCTCTGCTCTTTATGAAACTATCTATCTCCAATCTCATCGATTAAATGCTCGTAAAACAACATCTAGCACGCTGGAGGCTAGATAATGTTTTTCTCACCAGAGAGTGTATTGAGGTTCTAAACGCGCTTTTTCGTATACTGCGTTACAATGCAGTCGGTGTTCACCTCACAAGTCGTATTCTGTAAGTATTTCAAATATTGCGAGTGCTATTCTGTCTTTGTCTTTATTTATTTTGAACGTCACTTGTAGTACACTCTCTTCACTGTTTTGAATCACGAGTTACTACAGCCCTAAGCGATCGCGAAATTTTTCTGTGACTCAAATCATAACCTACGGCGAATTAATGAGTGACCTTTAGGTTAACCAAACAAAGTTAACTCACAGAATTTCAGTTTTCGTTTTGGTCTACAAAGTACAAGAAAGTGACGGTCACAGACGATCAGATATCTGATCGTTCATAATAAATCCTTCAAATTCCAACAACTATGAAATTCCGAAAACCTGGTTAATAAATTTGTCTTATCAAAGTCATACGCATATGGCAGTCATTCCTACTTGAAAATCAGAGGCCTTAGACCATATAAATTTTGTCGTCATTACCATGCCTTCTATTTTTAACGATCTCAGTGTCGTTTGTGTTTTTTATGTATGTGTCAGGTTCGGAATGTTTTTTTCATGAACGCCCAATTATAATTAGGCATTCATATTCCCTTCACACTGCACGAATCAACGAGATATGTTAGTCCTCATCCTTATTCAGATGTAGGTGATTTCACGTTAAAGTGGTCAAGGGCTCAGAGTGAGTGATACATGACCTTAGTAGACGTGGGTTTTTCATTTTCAATCGCTAATTATCCTACCTACAGATAACTGAAGGTAGAAGGCCATCAACTTTTATTAACTGACTAGGAGCTCCTAGTTAAGTATACTTTTCTGTGATTGAATCATCCCTAGGAAATACAATATCAATATGATTGGTCAAGGTTCGGAACTGGTTACACTGAACTGTTTTTCACCTTACGTAATACTGGGACTTTTTGCGTCCCATTACTCATATCAGACTATATGGTCATCCCTCTTAATATATTCTGGGCCAGTAGTTTACTTTTTTAAAATCCCGTTCTAACCTAAGAGATTCGGTTGGTTATGTGAATTGTTTGTTTGTACATCAGTTATCGGGCATTGTCTTCGGACCTTGATGCACTTTGAATTTAGAAACTGGTTAGTGTCATTACTTCCCATTGTCACTCAAACTTAGTACATAAACTCGCACCTAGTCGTTGAGTTATATGATGAAATCTTCAATTTAGTTTTCTTAGTCATTGTCGAACTCACAACAGTAAAGCTATCCTGTCGAAACTATCGTTTGTCTCTTACATTGTTTAGAAAAGCCTTATCTAATATCTGGAACATTCAGTGATATCCCTAGATCCTTAATAACTACTATCTGACATTTCAGCAAAAAGTTACTAGGTGCATTGATCAGTCCCTTATTTCGTCGTTGGAATGGAGGTACGTTGTGTTAGCTCACATATCCTTCATTATTAGAAAGAAAGAATAAAAAGTGTAATCGAATTCTTCTCTACTCCATTGGATGAAGAGGAGCTAGTCGATGGAGAAAGTAAACCCGATGAACTGTACACCCTCTGTGATGATCCCATGCAAGTACCCATCAAACTCATCGATGAACAACTAAGGTTCGTTAATCTTGCAACAGTTCAAGACCTTTTTGTTGACAATTCAGGATTTCTTGTTGTTGGCGCCATTGGTTTACAGGTAACCAGAGATATTTTGATTTTCTCGTGAATTTAGGGTTCAGGTAAATCGTCTGTGTTAAATATTTTGGCGAATTGCATTTCTGACGGTTGTGGAGTTTTTGATGGTCCTTTTAATATTCAAACTCTCAAGGATGTGGTAACTAACAGCCCGTGTACTGCTGGTATTAACTTATATATTACACAAGATCGTGTAATTCTTCTGGATGCCCAAGTAACTTTTCTGTTTAAGTTGAATGTATAGGCTGTGATCCGTATTTGTGTTTTCGTTGTATGTATAAATCTTGCATTTTTAAATTGCTGTTAAGTGACTAACTAATCAAAATATGGCGCTAGTACGAATGTAGTGGTCGTTTTCTGTCAAACTAAATATCTCAGTGGTTCAAATATTTGTTAATGCAGGGTTTTTGTACTAAATTGCGCTACTCATATTTCCTCTTGGACACCCATATATTTTCAGTAATTAATGCATTTGCTACGGTAAAGCTGGGAGTGATTAGTTTATTTATCTGATTTATTCAACGCACAATTAATGGCACATGTGGGTACCAAAAAACAAGTGTGCAGCACACTGATAAGAGAATCAAACCATGAAGTAATGTATTCTCCTCCTTCCTATGGTAATAAGATAAAATATCAAACTTTTATGATAGATATGTTATAATCTACTCATTATAACTTAAAGATTGTTATTCTTAACTGTATTTCCTTTATAATGTTCTTTTTTGTTAGCCTCTTCTTTCATTTGCACTTACCAACTATCACACTCACTTGGTTGCTACTGGTAATATAACATCGTCCTCGAGTACTCATCCAGGGCTTTCGTCTCTTACAGGTCCTGGTAATTGGAACATGGATATTTGGGCTGAAATGGCTTCTATGCAGGTCAGTTAAATTTATATAAATCAACTTAAATATAACTATTGACTCGTAAAACAATTTACTTATCGAAAAGGATTCCTTTTCTAATTAAGTTGGTTTATGCAAATGTACGATAATTTGAGGTGAAAAAAATCTGTAGCTCAGGTGGGTGGTTTTGATGGAGTTTTGGTCGTTAAGCTTTCATCGTTATTTCTGGACGACATCAGCGCAAACTTCAGGTAGGTGTGATGTGTTCAAATTTCTCCACATATGACTCACAGCTTGTCCTGTAGACCTCAAGATCGAGCTCCACAACCAAACCATCCAGCTCAGAGAACAAAACTCCACCAAAACGTTTAGCGGCTATCTGTAAATATTTGTTCTTTTGTGCATTTCATTTTCATAGAACGGTTGTCATTTCAAAGTTTTTGTTCGTTAGCAAATTAACGTCCCCATAGAATACTTAAAGTAGAGAATATTTGAGCAAACAGTCGTTTTAAATAAACTTCTCTTGAATCCCTTCGCTTATAAATCCGTAAATTTTATTTTACTCTGTATGGTCTGTCTTAGCATACATATGAAAACTATGGTTAATTTGTTCTATCTTAAAAGTTGAAAGTAGTATATTTCCCATCAGTTGTGTCTAAATTGCTAAACGGCAATATGAAATAAAATAGACATCATGTCCTAGATATTTTGATGATATTATTGATAGTAATCATGGTAATAATAAGAATGTTATGTAAATTAAGGAATGTGCAGCTAAGAATATGTCATTGAAGGGGATTGGTAAAGACGTATATGAACGGAGCAGTGGGCAAACATTTATTGTATATGCTGATAATGTCAATCGGATTGCGTATGGGATGAGCCTATTTCGGGTATGACTTATGAGGCTAGATACACAGGAGCAATCAGAGTGTCATTCACAAGCTGTTGTACCCATCATTCATAACTTATCTTTGATTTGCTGCATCATTATAGGGTTGGTTGACGTAACATGTTATTCACTGGCATTAGACTTCATTTTAATAGATCTATCCAGTTGATGTGTTTTATTTATTTATTTATTTTAACACATAGATATTGGTACAATGAGGCACCAAATAGATATGCCCCACATAAATCATTCGATTTGTGTGAGGGCTGTGATACTGCCCGGGTGCTCAAACCGAAACAGGTGGTTTTCTTAGGGGGCCACACCCAGAGCCTTTGATCTAAAAGTCTGACCCACGAGGCAGTGGAGCATCGTGAGGAGATGCAGTCCCATGGTAGCCGGTGACCAACGATCGGTTCATACGCTATTTGTTCCTTCAGGATACTGGAGCCCATGTGCACCATTGGTTTGGAATCCGGTTAAAGCGCCGGACATTCGCTTTTCGTCCTCTCAATTTCGTAAACAACACCCCCGCCATGAGAAGGCAGTGAGTAGGACTTCTCTGGCAAAGACTGTATACGCGTGGCCGTGTGAGAGCATTTCGAGAGAGAGGGAGGGCGGGCCCACCTCACTCTCGGCCATACCAGGGCATTTGGGGGACAGTTAGAATGTCATTAATCTAATTTATTTTCTAAATATATTCATTTGTACGGAAATATCCGATCTTTCGTAGAGGAGTAAAGTAGACAATACAATGCTGTTATCATGCTTCTCTTTATATTTGAAACTAATTGGTGGATATGCATTACTATAGGTGTGTAAAAGTTCCCGTTGATTGACTGTTTAGCTATACACAAGCACTGTCGTATAACCAACGATAATAATATTTAAATGCATTTAATTTTCAGTATAAATGCCCGTTTTTCATTTCCGCCAATAAAACTGCGAGCACTTTACGACTAAAAAAACCGTTATTACATCAGAGGACTGTCTTGAAGTTCGTATCTAAAACGCAGTCGGCCTAAAAAGTTTAAGTTTCTTATTTGTCATCTAAGATTTTATAGACATGAGAATATAATATATGCTCTTAGACATGATACATCATTTAATGAATTAGGTATATTTCTGTTATTGTTTTATGGCTCCAGTTTTTTTTTCGCAGTTTTCCGCCTCTTTTTCAATTTGTTTGCGTCCTCTTCGCATATCACGCTTTGATAATATTTCTCTTTGTAATGAATTTCATGTTTATCCACTAATTTGCTGAGTCAGCAAACATATCTTGTGAATAGTTACCAGATTTATACATGTGTCAGGATAATTTTGCCATTTAAGACTAACAAAACTTACTATTTAGTCCATGTCTTTTTTACTTTTTCTATATTAAATACAATCTGTATCAGTGGGTACTTCTGAAGCGGTTCAACTGAGTAAATAAATCAATAGATAGCTTCTAACTCCAGAATAATAACATTTACAAAAGATGACTTGTCTTAAAATCTTTATCATTTGAAATGGGAATTGGTTTACTAGTTATATATCAATCTTTTCAAACTATTATTTACTTTCTCATTGATGTGTTCAGTATTCATGAACAAATCTATGAACCGTCTTATGATACGGTTGCTATAATTATTAGCTCAATTCAGCTTGATAAAAATATTATTTAACAATAATGTTAGTTTTGCCATATGATCATTAATTTAATGACAATATGTGTTATACTCGCCTTTATGAAATTTATTCGGTGTATCAACATATTTGTGTATACATTATGTACATGAAACATGTTTCCGCTATATGATTAATTCGTAGTCTTTGACTATCTTATGAGTAAATCAATACGCTACTAAGTCTAAATGACAATAATTTTTTTTCGTTTGATGTATTTTTGTTTTAAATTTTAGATTGTCGCCTTTTTAATAAATGTATGCCATGTTGTACTTGTTGTCAGTGATAATTTAACTACTGCTTCAACTCAGTTACACCGGCTTATCGATAGAGCAATAGGTCTTAAACCAACTGTTTTTACACCGAATGCCATGCCAATCCATGCACTACGTGGTCGTCAACATTCTGATATACATAACAAGTCATCAGATAATAATAAGAATTGTACAGATATAAAAAAATTGACAACTAGTGTACAAGGTTTACAAATTTCTAATGTAAATAAAACTAATCCATCTATTATCAACAAAGATAATAAAAGTTTAGAAGTTGAAGATGTTGATATTTTATCTTTGTCTGAACAACAACAATTTATTGGGAATTATTCTACATCAAATAACATTCTTGGACAATATCTTCATTCTATTGAAGCTGAGTCTAAAGACGTTACAAATGCAATCAATCGACTAATAAGTAAGTTAATGTGTATATATATTTTGTAATTTATTCTTGTTTTCGCAATAATAAACTATGCATTTAAATAAATATTAGTTATTACTGATGTTGACGATTTGATAATTTACTTGTGAAAATGATTCTCATATCCTGATATAACAAACTTTATAAGTTGAAATCTAATTAATTCTAACTAAGAATATATACATATAGTGGAGATTTAAAACTATTATTTATATTTCGATAAATATTCAACCAAAAAAAAGAGAATATTTTGTTTTTGTATGTCAACCATACATGTTTAAATCCAGAAATAATCATAATCAAGGACTTTTATTCAATTTTAATAGCTGCTTTTGTTTTTTAAAAAAATATATAAATCTATAACTAATCTTACTTAGATCTATTCTGACATGATTATATGATACCATTCGATTTTGTTCACCTATTTAAAATTGTTGAATGTTGTATTATATACATTCCTGTTTTAAATAACATAATATATTACAATGGTTTAAGACATTGTGTTGTTGGGGTCCTAGAGATAGTGCAAAACATTGGCTAGAGGCGTTATCAGATATGGCTCAAAATAGAAGGCAGTGGCAATCCTGGTGTAACTTTGTTTTACTTTCTTTATTCAAAAAAGGGCGTAACTTCTTTAATTGGAAGAATTCTCTGACGCTGTAATTTTACGAATTGAGCTGTCTCTACTATTATTATTATGTCACTATCATACAGTCATTTGTGTTCATTGTTGTACTTCTTTTTCCTTACATGCACCTTACTTTCTTTATCTCTTCACATTCTCATTATTATTGTGTGGCATATATGTATTTGATGCCACTTTGTACCAATATTTATGTGTTGTCTGAAAACTGAATGATTTTATTTGTTTATAGAAATTTAATTTTAGACGGAAATTTTAAAGAAAACATTCCTGAAAATGTTAACAACTTACATTAAGTTCAATTTTTCAACTTCAATTTATATTTGTTATATATGTTATAAACTGAAACTTTCCTTCTATTAAGTTTGTGCAGGTAAATTATTCTTTATGGATGAAGTTAATAAAGCTAAGACAGTCTCTTAGAATTATCACAATTGTAGGCAATGAAATTTTGATTACCTTAATCAAAAAATTTTATCATTCATAAAAATCAGTCTGGTTTCAAAGATGTTTACTCGATTTTAATTCTGTCAATCATATAAGATCTATCATGATCTTTCATTCACATCAACTCATTTGCAGCTATATTAATCTACTTCTCCTTGATGTATTTCTTTTTATTGAACAGATTTAACTGATTATTCAGCCTCATTAATTCATGTATATAATCAGGCCCCAGCAGCTGCATTTCTTGACCCGGTTATGTGTGAAAAATTAGATAGGTATAGGAATAAAATACTACCACTTATGTACCCAGAGTACAGAAGGTTAGTATCACTTGTTACTGTTGGTCCAAGAATTTTATCCGCTCACCTTCAGTCACGAAATCGTGATCAACCTACAACTGCACGTCAAAACTCTGCACAAAATGATACTCCTACTGAAATAAATCGAAACACTACTGACGTAAAGCTAACTAAAAACAGTTCAGAAAATCGTTTAGTCCCTGACAATTTTATCGCCCAAAATTATTCAGGTTTTCTTGATACTCAGGAAAATTCTGTCTTACCTACTCCATCAGGACTTTCCGAACCGTCCTCAGTTTCATCAGACAAAGGACTTGCATCACCACAAAAGCCTTCGAATATCAGCGCAGAAACGTTGACTTCAGTAGAAGTTGATAATGAGTCAAAACCTAGTAAGTTTATACTTAATGTTCTTTCTGATTAATAGTTTTCGGTTGTTTTTTTTTATTAGACTACACATGTTTCTAGTTTTCTTGCAACCTAAACTTACTGTAGGAGTTTAGTGCAGTTACTTGTCATGGGAATTATAGACGTGATAAAATTTAAATCGAAGGAGTTCATCGAGGGACATCATCTTCTAACATTCCTTCACTACCCTGTGGTTCGGACCTCCAGGTCAAAGACTCGTGGGATGGTCTCCTTAGAAAATTCACCTGCCTCGGTTCAGGTAACCGTGTAGTATCCCGACCGTCAAGAAATTGTGTAATGCATATACATTTTAGTGCCTCTTTGTGCCAATGTTTATGTGTTTAAATAATAATTTTATATTGTGTCTGATAGTCCCTAGGTAAATATTTTTATCTAATACACTCGATGTTGATATCTGTATTTTTTATAGAACAGTAGTTTAGGGGCTGAAACATCTAGCTTTGAACAAGTAGATTACAGGTTCACTTTGGGTAATCGACTATTATCTCTAACTTCTACACAAGCAGTGTGATTTAAAGTTGCATACTTGAATCTGTGTTTGTTGAACGAGTTAAATTAGACTTTTCATACAGCGGTTAATAACCATATTTGCTTCAAAACAAAGGTGTGATTGTACTCATTTCAAGGAACCAGCACGAACTATTTAATCTAACATTCATTCATATGGTGAAAAATATTGTAGAACAAAACAATCGGTAACATGATTAATTTTAGATAGAAATTACAAAGGGTTTATATATTATGTATACATAGCCTTCGATCATTCATTTGCATCTTGTGGTGTGTTCTGCGATCTAAACTGTTTTCTCGTCTGACCATTAAGTGTTATTCCTACGTCATGCTTTTGATGTATTGGAACTCTTCTCTCAATCTGACGATTGTGATAACTTTGACTCCACGTCCCGCTACACATTAATTACATGTAATCTTGAGTGTAGCGTCCACCACATACGATTTTTCAGAGGAATCTTACGCTAGTTCTTAAAAAATGTTTCATTATGATGTGACTGTCTTTTCAAAACCATCAGTATTTAAACTAGGATAACTGTTCAATACAGTCGAACTTCTTATAGCGTTCGGTTGATATTGGTCAACATATTAAACTTTCCCAGAAATCTATGTTCTAATTAGTACACATGGAACTGATTCACACAATTTTTTCAAGACTATAATAAAATGTAATGATGAGACAAAGTGACCATTAGGGAACAGCGTTGGTAGCTATGGTTTAAAAAAATGTATCCAAACCATCTCAAGAATATTAACTTTAAGAATGACAACTTACATTTTCAGTATTTATTCACCATAGAGAAATAGTCAACCTGGAAGTTATTGTCCTACTAATATTGTCTTTAATATCAAAACAAATTAGTAACACTAGTTCAACATCAATCAAATTAATAGTAAATCCCGGTTATACAGAATTTTTAATATGGTTTTTCATTCCAAAGTTCTAATATCGAGTTTATTTTAAAGTCGAATATACGGGTCGGTACTCAGTAAATAAGATACATTCATAGTAAGTTCACTACCAAATATAGTACGAAAAACTTCTGTACTTTCTAATTTGTTCATGTTTTTGAAATATAGTCTGATTTGTTGAGAGGCGTTGGTAGTAATATAACTTTGTCCGTTTAAAACTAGCAGGGAATGTTATTTAATAGGGAAAATGTCTGTAGTTTCATCTTCGTCTAGAAACACCATTTTTGACAACTTCATTTTCAAATAGTATTAGTCATAGATTCATTAATTCATTTCACAACTAAAGCATAATCATTTTTACCAAAGATTTAAGTTTTTACTTATAATGTCTCACAGATACTGACACCTATACTGCTGCGTGGTAACATGTTCTCGTTTTTCACTAAAAACGCTTCATTTCAGTTGGAAAAAAACAAGTACGATTTATGTTTATTATTATTTTACATTATTTTCAAGATCCAACCCACTGTTTAACTTCATTAAATACAATTCAAGAAAAATCAAAACCTTTTTCTGGTGAAAAACCTGATGGGTTAGTTTATCTCAGATTAATTTATATAATCTTAATCATTTGGGCTTTTTCCCTTATATGCTGAATAAAAAACATTTTTGATAGTTGTTTAGTATTCGCTTTGTTTTGTTTAGCACTAACAGTATAAAAATAATTCCCACCGTATAGAAGAGATCTTTATTGACATTTTATGACTGATAACATACTACAGTCATATAATTGATAGATTATGTACTAGATTATGTAACTTTTACTACATAGTTTTTTCTTCCTAGTCGTCAATTAATGATTGTTCATCGAGTTACTATTATAATATATCAGATCCTTTTTGTTTGAAAATCAACCTTATCCTCACCAAATAAATAAAGAGGATAATTCAAAATAATAGTGCTATGTTCTAGAATTGTATCGAACTTTAATATCGTCCGTTTTTTTAGATTCTGACCATAAATGCCATTGATTCGTTTTCCTTTTTTAATATGCTATTTTGTGATGTTTCCCTAAAGACATTTTTATGCTGTATATAGACACTTGAGCTGTGTGCTTGTTGTCGTTCCTGCTTCTGGGTGCTTGTGGAGTATATTTTTCTGTTATCTGAACCGAATCTTCTCCCTCTAGTTAGCAGGACTGAGAGAGTAATCTCTCATCTAATCGCTCTCACATAGCCACGTGCATACAACCACTGCCAGGGAAGTTCTACTCACTGTTTTATCGTAGTGGGGTTGTTGTTTACGAAATCGAGGGGACAAAAAGCGAATGTGGGCTCCAGGATCCTAAGGAATGGAGTATCAGCCTGTTGTTGGTTATAGCTCACGAAGAAAACCATCTGCTTTGGGTTGGGCACCTGGGCAGTATCCCAGCCCTCATGTTATGACTTTAAGTTGATGTCGTTTTCTACCCTGTGTTATCGATCGATTACAATGACACGTAAACACGTACGGACGGCCTAGAGTCTCGATTGGTCCCACTTCCCTGTCTAGCCCAGTCAGTTGAGTCCAGAACACAAGTCACAGCCTCGGGGATATGAATCACTATATTTCAAACATACTTTGTTTATATACCAGTCAAGCATACCACAGCGTACCATAAAAATAGAAAACAACATTTTGTACAAGTGAACAGATATCGACCAATAGGAAATGTCCATTTAAAGTCCAAGGACACCATTGGACTTAACATGATAGTTATTGGTCTATTCCTGCGCATCCACAACACCTCACACAAATCGAATGGTTTATGTGGCGCATATCTATTTAGTTCCTCCTTGTACCAATGTTTATGTGTTTAAATAAATAAACCTTTTAAACTAATTATCTTGTGTGCAGCTGAAGAGCAAGCAAATATGTACAATGTATTAATTGTATTTTGCAAATGTCGCTTTTGCTTTGTTTAAATTTTTTCCGCATTTCACAATTTTGTAGGTACATTCCCTTGGATAACAATAATAGTAATAATTGTGTTAAAAAATTTGGCCTATCGGAATCAGAGATAGTATCGCAGTGTTGCAATGTTTTGCATAATGTAGAAGATGAACTCAATTCTGTTTTAAAACACACTAACTTATCCGCTGGTGTAGACCATCACAAGAAGATTGTAGAGAAACGATCAGGAATATTACCGGTCGAAGGTCAGCTCCCTGATAATGATTTACTTCATATACCTGGTATTGATGGTGAGAAGTTGAATGCCAGTCTTGTTCAAATGTATCATGATGTACAGACTACTAGATGTAAATTTTTCGATGTTCAAAAGCGATTAGATCAACCAAGATTATTCTTGATACCAGAAGTTGACGATGAAGGTTAGTAGTTATGTTAATGTACTAAAAAAATTCATTGTCGAAATGGAAACATGTGCGATGTAATATATATATATATATATATATATATATATATATATATATATATATATATATATATATATGCTATGGGTTTACAAATCCAGACCCGGTTTTACCTTATTCCAATCAAACATTGACGTATGGTTTTAAGCAATCAATTTCAGACGACTGAGTGTCATTTCGAATGCTTCAGTTTGAGCAGCTAGGTAGTATCAGTAGCCGTCATACAAATGGAACTTTAGTTTGCATCCTATGTTTTCTTCTACTCATCCTTATGGCATTAGTTCTTAAGCTTTAGGTTATCCATAAAGGTTTGCATTATATGATTAAAGAAAATCAATAAAAAGCATTCATTACTGTTAAAGAAGATTTTTTATAAGTTTTCTCTAGTTCAAAATGTCAGTTAACTGAGTGTTAAATGTTTTGCCTAATTTAATAAATAACCCACGTGATTAGACTCCATCCTAAGTGCTTCCGCTGTGTTTTTTTTGCATTCAGCTTATCTAGAATGTTTTTTAAGAGTTTAGATCGAAATCTTTTGAGTTTCTATGACAAATTTCGTTGATATTGCATGTCAGATTTCTTCTGTTTCCGATGTAGTGTATTCGAAATTTTCCAACTAACTAGAAATGCATTTGATAAGCACTCTTATTTTCACGATCATCATAATACGGGTGGTATGTCAAGCAAGCTGTGATTGATTAGCGAACGACGATGGACATCTAGATATGCTAAATGTATGGGACATTATAAATACTGAAATATATTTCTTACTATTAGTCCTAGTGTGTGTAGACTCCTTGTATATGTCCTAACAAAACTGGCCTATAATCTGGTTCTTAATTGTTGGCTAGAGTTTCTTATCTACGTGTCACCTGATCTAGTTTTCCCAGTCTGTTATTCAATCTCGTGTCATTGTGTCGTCGTATTCCGTATAGGAGTACAAGTTTATTTTGCCGTCACATTAAAATATTAACTAGGAGGTGTATCGCTAATGTATCTAAAAGTCAATAGTTGAGATCATGAGTCAATTGAAGCTAGACCACCATGGAAAACCTGGAAGCACTGGATGGCCGGTTCGTCCTATTGTGGGACTCCTCAGCGATGTGCATCCACGACCCCGCCTTGCGAGATCCGAACCCAGGACCTGCTGGTCTCGCGCGCAAGCATTTAACCAATAGACCACTGAGCCGGTACTCAACGGTGTCAATGTCTAACTTCAACTAATCCACGAAGTTGAGCGACATATCCACCATTATTTTATGTTGTTTAAGTTTGGCTAAATAAGTTATTTTAACTATCGTACAATTTGAGCATGTGCAAATTGGACTTTTAATTTTTTTTAATTTCTCCATTTGCACACATTCTTAGGACACTCACCATTAGGGTGTCCAACATACTTAACATCAGCCCGTATCTTACAAGAAGCTGTTTTCTCTACACCTCGACAGCATATGATGCCTAATTTTACAGAGAAGAAATGGTATGTTTTGATTTCCTTTACCCCATAAAACACGTATTTTTTATTTAGGATAACATATGTTCATAAAATGTGGGAAGCTGTAATACATTCCCCTTTGTTCCTCGATTATCATTCCGTTCGGATGAATCAGATTTAAGTGTTGCTACTTTTGAAAGACTGTTTAATACTATATTTTATTGCAGTAATTTATCTTTACATGAAATATAATTACACTTTTTCTTGCTGTCTTCTTATTTTGAGTATCTTCCTGGTTGGTCTCAAGTTTCAGTGGTTCACAACGACTGAATCTTTTAGGTTACTTGTAAAAATGAGTACTTTCTTCATCTAAAGTTTTTTAAAATAACATTTACTTTTGTCATACGCGATTGAGGTGACCTAATAAGCATAACATGAAATTATGTAATTTTGGATTTCAATTCTATCATTTTTAGATTCGATTACTAATAAGTTGGTAACTGTGTTGAATCATTTGACCGGAAAAATCAGCTCTGCGCGGAAAACCAGAATCCTAAACAATGCAAGCGCAGGAAATACAATGAACAGCTTGGATGCGGCTAGATGATTTGGACTTCTCAGATGACAGCCCTTCTATCTCATACGCACAAGCAAATGCAGACGAACACATCTAGTTTAGCGGCAGCCTTTGCGTCAGTATGCCCCAACATCTACAAGAAAAAAACAAGATCCTCAAATACAACACACAGAGAACCAACCCAACCACACTTGATAGAGAAGCTCTGGAACAGGCGGAAACTCACGTGCCTGGTCAGCATCATCGATGAACGAGGTGGATCTGATGCAGACTTAAAGGCAAGGATTAGCAAGGCAAGGGCAGGATTTCTACAATTGAAGACAACACGGAATTCAAAATAACTGTCAACCAATATCAAAGTCAGAATCTTTAATGCAGACGTCGACACATTTCCACTATACGGAGCTGAAAGTTGGAAAACTACTTCAACCATCATCAAAGAAGTACAGCTATTTATAAGCAACTGTCTACGCAAGATACTCAATTTCAGTCAATCGAATATCATCAGCAACAGCCTACTGTGGGAGAGAACAAACCAGCCTCCAGCCGAGGGGAAAATTAGGATAACATGCTGAAGCTGGACAGGATATACACTATGGAGATCGAAAAATATAAGAATCATCACAATTAAGTTTCGTGAACGTAAAAATTGGATTAGTATAAACAGTGAAGCGTAACTGGGGCGGCCTGTCGTCCCAGACCGATTTTATTCTGGTTATGATACTAAGCACCGCACCTATGTTCACTAGTAAATTCATACTTTAATTCCTCTCTCTAACGTAAAACAAGCGACTTTGTGGACCCCTCAACAGTTGTAATAACCTATGAAGACCTGTTCGTTTTCCACATTCTTAAAAGTTTATTTAGGTCAGGTGCATAGTGGACTGTATTAAGCTGATTCGACATAAAATTTCCAGTGGTACCAACAAGATAGTTTGGACTGTCTCAATTTACTCCGTTTTTTATTATCTATTTGCTTTTGAGTCACAGTCTTAAAGATACTTTTGATGCCTCCAGCGAGTTTGGTTACGACCAGGTCGTTTGATGGTTCTTCACTGTGTCGTTGGTGGGAGTTTCTGCTCCAGTCAGTGCTTAGGGCTGGCTTAACCATAGTATTTTCGCCTACTAAACATTAAAGATAACGCAAAAATTGGTGTGGTAACCTGCCACATAATGTTCCTCCTTGAAAAAGGTCTTGGATTCTTCGACGGTTCACGACTTCATGCCTTGTGGTCGTACACGTTTTCTACGTAAAGGGACTCCGTGTCAAGTCAAGAACTTCTTAAACAACTGATAGGAGGTGCACAAATCTCTGTATCTAATTCCTTCTGATCTAATGTTGTGTCTGGTAAATAGTGCTGTATTTGAGCAGATCACAACTCCAAGTAACTTTTGTGAACTCTAAACACCTCACAATTGAGTAGAGAATCCTTCCGTTTGATCATTTTAACGGAGTATATTTCGTCACAGAATGCTAAGCATTTCTGTATTGCACTAGAAATACGTCTACCCCCTCCAGGTCATTAAATCTGGAAGCAGCAACGGAATGATTAGCAAACTAATGTCCTGAAGAAACTTCTTCTCCTAACCATTAGAACAAGGGTGTCTGGGAGCAGTGATCAGATACTTAAATCCTATACCATTCAACTAGACAGTGACTGCATCTGCAGTAAAATGAAAGCCATTATCAGTCACTAGTACCATATGGACATCCGACTAAAAACTTCTTTAATGCTTGGATTGTTCAGTCAGAATTTGGTGAAGACGAGGAAAATCTCCAGGCCACTTGGGAAAAGAATCAATGACTACAAGTGCGTAGTATTTGCCAAAAAGTGAACCCCAGTAGGCCGTGTGAATTCTCTACCAGGCCTCAGAGGATACTGCCCACAGAGTCAAATTCAAAAGGTGATTTTTTGGCGTATGACATCTTCCTCAATTGTTTGCTATACGACATGTATCTACATTTATTTCCGACCACCAACATGTGAGCCTCTTCAAGGATTTCATCTTAACACCTGAATGTCCATTGTGAACATTTCCAAGGACAGATTCACGTTACAAAGGACGTATAACAGCACGATCGTTTAAACAGAAACTATCATCGGGAGTAGTGGAAAATTCATCCCGCTTGGAAAACTAGTCAGGAAATCTACTTATCAGATCAACATCCTTTCCTTTTGCATACCACTGAGTATACATCCGTAGTCTAGACGAGGTTCTCTAACGAGATCTAGATTACTCACCAGTTTGAGTCTCAGTAATAAACAGTGTGTAGTATTAACAGGATACAAGATAAACCTAAAGAGAAAACGTGCAGTCGATTACAGAAATTCGGATTCCCATCTAAGCCGCGGCGCCTTTAGTGTTTATACTAACTAAAGATTCCTTCGCACTTATTACGAACTCCAAATATAATGTGTTCACTTGTCCTCATGCGGTTCTACAAGCCGTGAATTGAACTATTCAAGTAATTTTTCGTTTGCACGTCAACCCGAATGCTTCTAATTATCATACACAGTTAAATTCCACTTAGTCTTTAGATTTATTGCGATTACTAATGGTCGGATTAAAATCTGCTGACAAGTCTGGTCCACATTTTTCAGTATCAAAACTTAATTTTGTGTTTTCTTGAAGCTTTTCAGGTCATTAGCAATTCTTTTCACGAAAGTAGGAAGTACTCCCAATGGAGTACTTCATGAAAATGACCTATCTCTAGATCTTGAAAGACAGCTAACCCTGATTATTGCTGGTACCATAATAAGTATGGAAAATCCCAAAATTGCAGGAAACCCTGCAGTTTCTTTATCCCCAAAACATCCGACACGAAAAATGTTTCGGAAATGGTTTCTTCAGAAATGCAATAATACACTTTTCGTTGATGTTAGCATAATATTCATCATAATAAAAAAGACGGGTTCTGTGCACTTAAGAAGAATATTGAAGAAATGGAGAAAATAAGGGAACAGAAATGAAGGAAACGCGAAATACGTTAATAGTTTAGTGAATGTGTTCATGAACACAAAACAAGTATAGACGACTATGTATTTATCGCCGAATGAATAACAAAAAGGGGAAGTGACTATAAATAAATAAAATTATTATTGAAGCAAGATTTGACGGTAGAATAAGTGTTTGTGCAGTGCTATGAAATTATCAACTAGTTGCAAAGGATAATCAAATATCAATATGTATGAGTCATATACGCAGTGACGATAAAATGAATCTGAGAAGTCAGTTTATTCAAGCGTAACTTTAGATATTCTGTTTTCAGTCATAAACTTTAGATGTTTAGGAATAAAATATGTCTAGGAGGAAAAAAAGGGATGGCAAGACTATCTAATGTGTCAAGGGACTAATCTTAATGATAATAAGAATAATTATAAATATGAACATAAGCAGACTTCAGGTATTAAGTTGAGTAAAAGAGATCAAAGTACATGAGAAAAGTTTCAAATGTTCTACTTTACTTTAAAATCAACTAGATAGATGATGGACCTTGTCTGTACAAATCATTAAGATACTTTTATATATCGCAGTAAAATGATTAGTAATAGCCGTTTGTTAATACCTTAACTTATGTGTAGTACAAGTATTTTGTGTTTAGAAGTATAAAAACAATCAGTATTGTAGAAATGTTGATGTTGGTATTGTTTTTGGTTTAAATTATAAAGTCGGTTAACATTTATGTATGTGAGCTGTCTATATGAGTTGATTCCCAATGGCATCCGGATTAGTAGGCTTACTGAAAGCAAAAACATAACCATGGGACGTAATTCTAACTAGTGTTACAGTGAGTTTCTAAGTTTCATACGGTTTATTTAATTACGTGGATATTTTCTCAACTCTATTAATACGTAACCGCGATAGAATTTAGCGATACTAACACATATGAATGGTTATCCGAAATTCTTTTACGTCAAAATTTTGGACGAATAGCTAAGAGCAGTTCGTTAAACACGAGTGTATTCGTGAGAAATATGCTCTATATTCAGTGTTCCGATTTTCAATTTACTGACTTTATATTCATACCTACCGGCTGATGGTGCTTACATTGATATACAATAGGTGAAGCAATCGACTCTCGGAAAGAAAATTATCAAGTAGACTTCTAAACGGTGTTATCGCTTTACTGCAACGGAGGCTCCGTGAGTGTTTTGCATAGTTGAGTAGCGAATAACGAAAAGATTCTGACGTACATCTGTGTACGTTCTAGGGCAATCTTCCTTATTGCGTAGGTTCTGAAATGATACCATAGAATGCTAACGGGTAAATGCCGAAAACTAAAAAATACCGTTTATAAGCCGGCAGATAAAGATAGGATTTAATTTGATACGCCTGATCCAGAGAAGTTCTAACTTGTCTTGTTGACACTTTTGGTGGTATTCTTTGTGGTTGGAATACCCCAAAATAGCTTTAGTGAATCTCTTTTGAACACCTTCCACTTTCATCAATTCATCATTCCTGCAATTATTGTAAACTAGAATGCCGTATTCAGTAAAGAGGCATTTTGTACATGGTAATAATATCTATTCGATGTTAATGAAAATTATCTTTATGAATGCAGTGAGTTTTCCTGATTTGGATACTTGAGATTCAGTTTACTCGGAAATGTTCAAACTGTTTTTATACCTCAAACTCAGGTCGTAAAAGTGTTGAGAGGTCTCAGTTTGTGATTTTGTATAACCA